TTATTAGCTTTTAGATGTCCACTGACCAAGGAAGAATGAATCTTGGCAACAGAGGCAAAGCAGGTGGAGTTTGGAATGGGCCTGAGAAATGTGTAGAGCTATGTAAGAGCACCCAAGGACCTTCACCAAAGGTGCAGCATAGGCTTGAAAGAAAACCAAGGATAAGACTGTGGAGCACAGCAGTTCTCCAAAAGACAAGTTGAATCTGGTCCAGCTTCCAAAAGAACTTTCCCCCCAAAGCTCATCACGCGGCTTTTAAAGTCCATATGCTCGTAAAGTTCTTGGAAATGAACACAGAAGAGTAATTTGGAGAATGCTGGGAAATGCAGAGTGGGAACTGACTCTCAAAAAGGCTGCTGCGAATGAAGGCCTGGCACCCAGCCTTTGATAGCTGCGGCTGTGGAGCAGGGATGCTCCTGTGCTTCTCAGATGTCATCCTTACATATGGCCCCTCTTTTAGAGCAGGGACATGGCATCCCTCAACCCTCCTTCCTTAGCTGCACCCTATAGCTCCTTATGTGCCTGTATATGTCCCTTAATCACCTGGGGTCCCTTTCTCCTGACTGTGATTTCAAAACTGCTTTACTAATGCTGGGCCCTTGGTCTGATCGCCGCCACTCCCTAGGGCTTTGAAGAAGAGATTGGACTATTGGCTGTGCCAGGTGGTACCCTAATGGGGAGCAGATTGTCTTCCACAGTGCCCAGCTATAAATTCATGTTGGTCAAATCCCTGTGTGTTGGTGAAGAAATGCCAACTTGAGTCCATTTTATTCTAGCTGTTAACATGACTTTATTTAAAATCCCAGTTTGGAAAGCTGCTCTGGCTCTTAGATGTTTAGTTAGTGCCTGGCAGTGGTGTGAATGCCATGGGTTGGTAGTGCCTGGGAGTTATTAGTTTACAGACTGGGGCATATTCAGTAGGCCTTGCACTTAGTAACTGCTCCTTAAGGCTGTCTGGAGGATGCTCATGGCATTTGCCTGTGTGAAATATACTTTCTGTTCACCTGGACTACGTGAACAGGTACCCAACCAAGCATACACACTATCTACAAGGATTCCAGAGAGGTCAGGCCTAGGATGCAAGGGCTGGTTGTGACTAACTGGGTGTGGCTTCTCCAGAACTCTGGAATGTGGGGGTGGCCAGGAGAGGTACTGGGCACCCTCCCTGTCACTGCTTTCAGGTGGTACATCATCTTTCATTGAACCACACTGGGCTCCTGATGTGTGGCTAGTTCTGAGGATGCTGGTGTATCATGAGGGGTTGTTAAACTGCTGGCATAGTGTGTCATTCCACTCAGCGCTCAATGTCCTAAATGGGGATGAGTCTGGAAAGGTTGGTGTGGCTTGAGCTGGTGCAGAGCAGCAGGAAGCATAGTAGGGCTGTATGATGTGAGCCCCAGGAAGTATAAGCAGCTATAGTAGGCATTCCTTTTCCCAGAGCTGAAGTGGACTGTATCCCCTTAAAAATGACAACAGCATTCCAGGTGGCACCTGTGTCACACCTGAGCACTATGCCAGCTAAGTCCTGACCTTGCACCAGTCCAAGTCTTTGAGTAGAGAGATCCCAAACATTCCAGAGCCCTACTCGAACCCCCAGTTTGATATCTGTCTCTTGGTGCTTCTATGGTGGTACTTATGCCACCATACATTGCTCTGCCCAGGTAAAGTGAAGGTATCTGTAGCCAGGCCTGGTGCCAGCCCTGACCAGAGCTGCACACTATACTATGCCATGGTTTCCTGGACACTTACTGGGCCTTCTCTTCACTTTAAGCTGCTATGAAACTCCACAACCTGAGAAGTGTAGGGTTGCTGTGGAGGCCTAGCTTAGTTGAGAGTACCACATCTTCAGGGCCAACCTGTGATTTTATGGTTCCCAAATCTGTTTTGTGCAGCCTGGGATAACACATCAGTGGTGGTGGTGGGTTCAGATCAAGTGGGATCTGGAAGCCCAGAAGCTGTTTGGATGGGGCAACAAAGGAACCTACTCTATTGAGAGATTCCTGTCTCCGGGGCATAGGTAGGCACCCTGCAACTTGGTAGTGAGATCCAGCCTGGAGGCTTGATTCTGCTGGGCTGGTCAGCAGGTTTTGCATTTTTAGGGTTTGTTTTTTTGTATTTTTGGGTTTTTTTGTTTGTTTGTTTGTTTTTTAAAGAGAAAGAAAGAAGAAAGAAAATACAGTAGAAGCCATATGTGGCTTTAAAAAAAGCTAGCCACACTTGGGCTGGAGTTGATTCAGATGTGATCATCAAGGGCTCAGACAGTTTAATTTTTTTTTTAATTTTGTGTGAGTGCATATGTGTTCACCTTGTGAGTAGAAATCAGAGGACAGCTTGAAAAGTTATTTCTCTCCTAACACCTTCTGGGTCCCAAGGGTATCAGGCTCAGACATCTTATAGAAGCCAGCATGACTCAACTTCTCATGGCTGGATGCTACATAATGCTACAGGGTGCTGGCAATGTCCCTGGCCAGTAGCTGCTACCCTGTTACATTGTGACTAGAGTGGACTGCCTAGACAGATTTTCACACTCTGTGTTGGATGTTTATTTTTGTCTCGTTTTACTTTTCATTTTGCTTTTTGAGGTAAGGTCTTAGTAGCCCAAGCTTGCTATGTAACCAAGGACAACCTTGAACTCCATACTTCCTGCCTCCACCCTGCATGAGCTGATAATACAGGCAGGTACTACCACGCCTGGTTTCACAGGATTACTGCCTCATCTCTGCTGTTGCTGCAGTAGAGCTAAGACTTAGCTCTGTATTTCAGGCACACAGGTCTCTGAGGATAGTTCAGAAGTGGGTCAAAGGTCACCAAGCTGAGCTGAAGGGCTTGGTGTTTGTAATTATGCTGTTAGAATTGCTTGCAAAATAATTGTTGTTGTCCTGTCCAACACCCAGCTGATCTATTTCAGCTTTACAACTGTATTGACACATGTCCCCAGAGTGTCCCTGTCAGAAACGAGCCAAGAAGTTAAACTATGGGTCCTGTTTTGACAAGGCTGGCAGGTTGACATAAAGATTATGGTTCCTTTTGACAGTGACTGGGCAAAGATTGAGTTCAAGTGTAGCAGAGCTGAAGGTAGGATCAGTTTCCCCACTGCTTATAATATGTGTTGGAAGAGGCTCCTGATGAGATTTTGGAAAGAGGTGTATACGTAGGTATATAATTATGTGTGTTGTCTATAAAGGGTATGTGCACATGATTGACAGTGTCCTCGGAGATAAGAGGTGGTGAATCCCCTGGAGTTCCAGGTAGTTGTAAGGTACCTAACATGGGTAGGAAGGGCTCTTAACCACTAAGCTGTCTCTCCCATCCCTCTAATCCTTGACCAAGGTTTAGATGGCAGAGTGATAAGTGAATAAGAGAGTTCAGATGACAGCTGCAGTGTGGAGTTGCAGTAAAACTGGGGACAGAGAAGCTAGTGTGTAGCTAAGACTGCTGAATCTGTGATGGGGAATAGGGGTTAGGGTAGGTTGGGGGTGGGGTTGGGAAGAGCTGAAAGCCAGTATCCTGGAACTCGCTATGTAGATCAGGCTGGCCTCAAACTCACCTGCCTCCTGATCATGGCTGGGTTTAAAGGTGTGCACCACTATGCCTGGTTTAGGACTCATCTTTACTAAGTAGGTATTACTAGAGATATTTTATCCCAAGCAATCATTGAGAAATTTTTAGTAAGTTATTAGCCTACAGACCCAACTTGATATCCAGTGGGAATGCTGCCCTGCATGATTCAGGGACCCCTTTTTGTAGCCCTTCAGATAGAATCTAGTATCTGGAGGTCTACCTCCCAAAGATGTCAGGGTGTTGGGCACCCCACCTCTCCTCTTGTTGGGGCAGCTAGCATGTGCATGTGTACATGCACATATTGGAGTCAAGCTCTTGCTGTATATTTCAGGCTGGCCTAGAACTCAAGATCCTCCTACCTCTGCCTCCCGCTGCTGGGCTCACACCTGTGTGCCACCACACTGATGCTGGGAACCTTTCTAGAGGGACATGTCCAGTTGTCTCTAAGAATCAATATATTTCTGTGGTGTATGTCTTTGGTCACAGAAACTGGAGTGGAGCAGACTTCAAGACTAGGCAAAGCCCCTTGTGAAGCCACACATAGGCCAGGTGTCTCAGAACTGCTTGAAGTTACAGGGTTTGGCATATGTGTAAAGGCCTCTTTTAACTTTCATTTGATTATCACTCTGTTTGCCAACCTAGACAGGTGGAGGACTACTCCCCAATCTGCTTCGAGGACCCAGCTTAAGGATAGATTTTGAACTTGCGTATTAGGCAGTGGGACTGGTGTCCCTGTCTGTCAAGCCTGCCTTTCATCCCACATTGCAGGCAGTGTCTCTTGAATCCCTCTGTAGTTCTGTCAGCTGCTCTCTCCAGTTTCCCTCTCCTTTCTTTCTGCCCTCTTTTCATGATGCTAGAGGGCCAGAAAGGAAGCCACTGATGACTCCAGCAACAGAAAAACCTGGGTAGAGAGTGAGCTTTTTTTTTCTTCTTCTTTTTTCTGTCTACTTCTCTTCTGATTCCAATTTCTTCAGCTGCCCCAGGTATAAGTCTCATGAGCTCATGTTGAGTGTTGTCATTGGTGGCAGGTGTGGGCAAAGAGGCCACCCCTGACTTCACCTTGCCTTTGCTCTCTTGCAGATCTTCTAGCCGCTCGATGGGGAGTCACAGAGGATCGCCTGTGTGTGTCAGCTCCCCACCTCTCTGTAGCAAGAGAAGTGACTGCAGCGCCTCCACAGTCATGATGATGAAACTGGTATTAACTGAGTGGTCCTTATGGATTTTTAACTCTAATTCACAGTGAGCCAGCATGCTGTATGTTTACAGTCCAACCAAAAACCCTGCTGTGTTGCTGCACATCTCGTGTGAGAAGTTGAGACATCTGTTGGTACAGAGTGGAATACAAGAGTTACTTGTTGGAATGCACTTGCAGCAGAACGAGAAGACGTCTTAATTTATCGTTGGAGAGAAATGATAGTATTATTTATATAGGTTGCCGGACCCTCAGAAACCCAGAGACCCAGAGGCCGAGACCCAAGAGGAGACCATCAGTGAGGGGTGGAGAAACAGAATCCCCACACGCCTATGGGTCATGCACGGGGCAGTGATGTTTGGCAGGGAATTCTGTTACGCCATGGAGACAGCACTGGTCACACCCATACTGTTACAGATAGGTAAGTACAGTGCAGCAGGCCTGGCCACTGCTGAGTATGTAGCTCCAGCCACAGATGGTGGAACTTAAGGTCCTGGGGAACCCTGCCATGGGTCCTTGACCTCTGTGACAGTTTCCTCCCATTAACCTGGTTTAGGGGCTTGTTCCTCTGGTCTGGACATTGCATTGCAGATCCTGAGAAAAGCTGGGCTTGGCTATGTTGGGCATACTGACTGTGGAAGCCGCTGGCTGTATCCCATGGCAACTCAGGGATCCTGGTGTCACACTTGAGTTTCTTGCCTATGGAATGGGGGTGAGTGCAGTCCCACCCCAAAAGTGACTGCAACCCTCCCAGGTTGCCGCTAGAATGGCGGCTGCTAGAATGCCACCCAAAGTTTTGTCAGAATCTTTTGTTTTCTCTGTAGACTCAGAAAGTTTTACAAACTTAATTCTTCAGCTCTGAAGCCTCATAAGAGAACTATACAAAAGGCCAAGCAATCTAGTGGCATCAGTTTTATTCTAGATTTTCATGTAATCAGGTTTCATATTTTAAAAACCTGTCTGCTTTGGTTGTTTTAGCAGCATTTCTTGCCACAACATAACCACATCCTTACATGGTGAGAGCTAACCCTGCTATGCTGGGATCAGCCCAACATGTGGATTTGCCATCCCCTGTGAAATCATCACCACTTCTTCCATCTCAGGCTTTGGCCTCAAAGCACACAGGTTTGTGTGGGAGCAGGCTTCCTGACACTGCCAGTGCTCATGATCTCACATGCCTGCTCTGTGGCCCATTAGTAAAGGCACTGGGATAGGTCTCATTCTGAACTTTCAGCGTGGATCCTGGCATGCTTTTCTTTGGGAATCAGACCTTAATCTCCTCCTTTCACTTCCAGAGCCAGTTCTCAGAAGGCATAGGAGGTGGCCAGATGGCTTATGGCACAGATGTGCTAGGGACTGTCCTGGAGGGTTAGCAGGCATTGAGCTTGACATAGGAGGTGGCCAGATGGCTTATGGCACAGTTGTGCTAGGGACTGTCCTGGAGGGTTAGCAGGCATTGAGCTTGACATAGGAGGTGGCCAGATGGCTTATGGCACAGTTGTGCTAGGGACTGTCCTGGAGGGTTAGCAGGCATTGAGCTTGACATAGGAGGTGGCCAGATGGCTTATGGTACAGATGTGCTAGGGACTGTCCTGGAGCGTTAGCAGGCATTGAGCTTGACCATGCATAACTGTACAGTCTTGTTTTACCTTGTGCTGCTTTTCATTCCCTGGGGGCCTGTCTTGTGAAGGCACTGGGGCAGAGAGGCCATGCTCTCAAGACAACCTAGTCCAGTGAGAGAGAAGTTGGGAAGGAGGCATCAGGCTTAGTTGGTGTATGTTCTATTGAAGCCTTCTGAGAACTGGTTTCCACCCAGGTCTTGTAGCAGTTCTGGAGCCAGCATGGCCTTCCATGTTGGCTTGCTGAGATGTGATCTACACCCCCAAGCTGCTAAGACCCAGGATCCACCCTGCCTGGAATCCTCACACTTAATGGGTTGTACTGTTTCCATGTGACCTTTAGCACTTTTTATTTTTTGGTTTTGAGTATTTATTACATGAGGTTTGTTGTGCATTAACATTTTTTAATTAATTATTTTACCATATATACCCTCCAAGTAGCTGGGATTATAGGCCTGAACCACCAGTCCCTCAGTGACCACATCTTACTAGAGGTCTTTGTAGCTTCTTGGAGAGATCTGCATGACAAGGAAGGCTCTAGCCAAGAGCTAGCAAGGCCCAAGGTTTCAAGGAGCTTGGGAGAAACCAAATCTTGTCAGTGCTTGATGACAGAACTTTTCCTAGCTGAGCTTTGCAATGACCACAGCCCGGTCAGGACCTGAAATGTAGCTTCTGAGAGACCTTGAACCAGACTAGTGGGTTGAGCTTCGGGTCCCTGACCCATAGAAATTGACTGTAAGGTGGCAAATGCTGTAAGCTGCTCTACCATGTGCTGTCACATAGTAGTGGGTAGTTGATGTATGGACTCTGGGTGTTCCGTTTGAAGCTTTATGGCAATACTGTTTCTCAACCCTTTATGATTTAGAATATAATATTTTCCCCATTACCTATGTATATTCGTCTTTCTAAAAGAGGATATCAGACTGCTTTAAATTTTTTCAATTACACTGATTGATTGATTGATTGATTGAGGGTTGTAGGTTTGCACTTGTTCACAGAACAGCTTTCAGGAATCGGTCTCTCCCACTGTGTGAGGCCTGGGAATTGAACTCAGGTCATCAGGCGGCAGCCATCTTACCTGGTCCTCAAAGTGATTTCAAAGGAAAGATGTTTTTATTGACAAATATCCCTTCATAAAAACTGTCTGCAGTTTGTGGTAGGAAGTTTGTCCTTTCTTTTTTCAAGTGTTCAACTTCCCATAGAAAACTGCCTGGCTGGAAGGCAGCAAGCAGAAGCCAGTGAGTGCTAGCTCAGATTCTGCCCTTTGAAGCTAGTAAACCAGATTGGCTCAGTCCAGGAGTAACCAGTTAAGTGAGCATATGCAGGGTTGACCTTTGGCAGTTCCTAAAAGCAGTGCCCTTGTATTGTCCTGTGTATACTCCTGTCAATTAGTGGGTTTTCTTTGTTGTTAAGATGTTGCTGGTAAAGCTGATGATTGAGGCCCCATGTGGGGTTTAGAAAGGCTGTTAAATGTCCCATGGAGAGGGATTTGATTCTGCTTGCTGCTTACCAACTTCTTTATGGCTGTCACCAGCCATGTGGCAGGCTGCCTCCCTCCCTAGTTGCACTGATGTACCAACAAGTTTTTCAGCCTATGTTCCCTGTGGCTTTTACCTTGTACTGTTGACACAGGACTGGGACCAATGGAGGAACCCTCAAGACTTGTCTAGCATGGAGAGGCCAGTGTCTTCTGCCCTTGATAATAGCAAATGTCTGCTCATTCTGAGCCTGACCACATTGGAGTTTCCCCCATGCTGGCCCCCAGGGAAGAGTAGGAATAGGGGAGGCTTCAGAAGCTTGGGTTGAACAGAAGAAGGTGGTGTAGCTGGCTGGCCACCTTTCACCTGTGATAAATCAGTGTTTTCCTTTAAGATAGCAGCTTGGCCCCTTCTGGGCTCTCTGTTATTTCCATTATTTGCTCAATTGGCATAGGTGGGTTCTTGGAGAAGCCTTGGCTCTTCCTCACCCAGTGCTTGCTGGTTTACTTTGGTACCAGCAGTCCCTGAGTTTACATGTCTGAAATGCTTATATTAGTCTGGCATATCATGAGACCCAAGCACAGCTGCTCTTTCACCTGGGCTCCCACAGAGGCTGGGCACCTTTGCTTTGCACAGCTGTCAGAAAAGTGAAACCCTAGTATAGAGCATATGGAAGTCTCCTCCAGGTAGAATGAGTAAGCTCGAGGGTTGTTAACTCAGCCCACCAGACTCCAGGGTCTTGTTCTCAGGGTCAGCATCACCAAGCTACACAGCTTGGGACATGACAGGCCTCTTCTCATGAGATCCTGGCCCATGTCCTTAGTCCCCCAACTGCAGGAATGTTTAGAGTGCTTCATTCTTCTTACTCTTGATACTAGAACCTTTTGGGGGGGTGGAAAAGGGGGCATCTAAGATAGGATTTCTCTGTGTAGCCCTAGTTGTTCTGGAAATCACTGTAGACCAAGTTGGCCTCAAACTCACAGAGATCCACCTGCTTCTACCTCTCGAGTGCTGGAATTAAAGATGTGTACCACCACCACCCAGCTGATACTACAGCTTTTTATTTTGGAACAGGCTTTTGTTGTGCACACCTACAACTCTCAGTTCTCCCTGCTAGGCATCCCAAGTGCTTGGTTTATAGCTATGTGCACCACACCCATTTCTTCATATGTATGTAAAATTAGGGATTGAGCCAGGGCCTGCTGCATGCTTGTCATCCTTGGCTCAATTTTCACTTTTGGTTTTGTTTTTTGAGACAAGGTCTCTCTGTGCACCCCTGGCTGTCCTAGAACTTGCTGTGTAGACCAGGCTGGTTCAGAATTCACAGAGATCTTGCCTGCCTCTACTTCCTAGGCACTGGAATTAAAGGTGTGTGCCACCAAACCTGGCTTGTCATTTATTTGCTTTCGTTTTGCTTTTGCTTGCCTACTTATTTTGAGACAGGATCTAAGTCTCTCAGACTGCCCTTGAACTCCCTCTATACCCCAGGCAGATCTTGAATTTGTGATCTTGCTGCTTCTGGCTCCAAGTAACAGGGATTACAGGCCTGGCCACCAGACATGTTGCACCTCAGCTCTTTTCTTGTCCCTGGAGCAGAAGTTGAGCTTTTCCTACACAGCCTGAGATCTCTGAATGCCACTGCCTCCTGGAGTGCTGTCTTCCACTGTCAGTAAACATAAGTTCTGTCTCTAGTCCTCAGATTGGGACTAGGACCCAGGATTTACTTGGAATCCTGTCTTTGTGAAGGAGCCCTGGAGTGGAGGTGCCAGTCTGGTGTTGGGGTACTGTTGCTGAATTCTAGGGTCTTGGAAGGAGAAGTCCTTGATGCACAGGAGGTGACTGGTATGCTGTAATGGGCAAAAATGGGGCAGGTGTGACAGGGACCTGACTTGTCTGCAAATGGGACAGGGCATTTGTATAGAAGAGACCGTGGGATAGGCATGGCTCAGTAGGGCATGGAGCGGCCCCACCTGCCTTTCCAAGCCCATCTCACAGGATGTTTCATGTAAATTTTCAGTGTCATCTTGTTGATGTGATGGTATTTTCATCCCATTCAGAATTCCAACATTCTATACTCTCAAGACATTGAAATCTCCCATTCTTGTCCCTCCCTCTTCTGAGGGTCATATGCTAGGGAACTGCTTCATGCCTTGTCATTGTCCCTAAAATAGCTCTTGGTTTTGTTGTTCCTGTTTTTGTCTTTTATGTATTTTTTTTTCATTTCACTTATTTTTCTGGGTGTATGTACACTCATGTGTGAGTGTACACTCATGTGTGAGTGTACACTCACAGTGTGAGTGTCTAGGTCAGAAGACAACTTGAGG